CCATCACTGTTGGTTCCGTGTATATTTGCCTTTTTATTTCACTTTTCATAATCTTCACTTTTTCCTCTGTTTTGCAATCATACTCTACCAGTTCTGTGAGCATCCTGATTGCTAGTGTTTTGAACTGTGCATCTGATAGGTTGGCTGTCTCTTCCTTGATTACTTCTGTTTTTTCCCAGAGCTTTGATCTGTCCTTTCATTTGGGCAATTTGTTTTGTTTGTTTGTTTTGGCGCACCTGTTACGTAGTAAGGGGTGGAGCCTTAGGTGTTCACCAGGGCTGGGCAACCCAGGTGCTGCCTTCTGGCTCTGTATGTGGGGGAGGGGTCCAAGAAGGAACAGTATTGCTCGTTCAGCTCTCTGCTGGCTTTTACTCACTTCCTCTGCTACCCACAAGCAAATTGGGTGATTCTGGTGCTGGTTCCTGGGTGGGTGGGTTTGCGTACATTCTAAGACCCTGTGAGTCTCTCCAATGAACTATGCTGTGAAGCTGGGAGTTTCTCCTGCCACCTCAACTCCCACAGATGACTGTTTTTAAATTTTTTTAAAGAGTTTATTTAAAACGAGGGGAAGGGAGGGAGAAAGACAGGGAAACATCAATGTGTGGTTGCCTCTAATGTGCCACCTACTGGGGACCTGGCCTGCAACACAGGCATGTGCCCTGACAGAGAATGGAACTGGCTACCCTTTGGGATGTGGGCTGGCACTCAATCTACTGAGCCACACCAGGTAGGGCCCACAGGTTTTTTTCAGTCAGAAGTTTTGAGGCTTTATTTCCCTGAACTGAAACCCTGGGTTGCACGGTCTGTCTTGCTCCCCACTTGTTCCTCTAGGTTTTCTGCATGCAAAATGGGACCGCCCATTCTGCCAGCTGCTGCCTCGCCCAGTCCCCCTGCTGCTGCCTTGCTGCAAGTTCTCTCCACCCTGGCTGCCCGTCTACACCCCTCCTACCAGTGTGGATGAATGTTTCTTCTTTAACTCCTTGGTTGTTGGACTTCTATGCAATTCTATTTCCTGGCAGTTCTGTTTTTGTTTTTTTAGATTTCATTTATTTATTTTTAGAGAGGGGAAGGAAGGGACAAAGAGAGGAAGAGAAACATAAATGTGTGGTTGTCATTTGAAAACCCTCTACTGGAGACCTGGCCCACAACCCAGGCATGTGTCCTGACTGGGAATCAAACTGGCAACCCTTTGGTTCACAGTCTGGTGCTCAACCCAGTGAGCTGCACCAGCCAGGGCATGTTTTTTGTTTTTAAATTTGTTGTTGTTCTTTGGTTTGGGGAGGATGCTGTGTATCCACCTATTGAAGGGTGTATTTTAAATGTGTGGATATTCAAAAGGATTAGTATGCAGAATATAAAAAGAGTTAAATAAATGAATTGAACTAAAAGAACCAATAGAAAATAAGGCTCAGAAGGTATGATTGTCAACTTTGAGAAAAATAACACCAATGGCAAATGACGTATATGAAAAGTTGTTCGATCTTGAAATAAGAAAATTCAAATTAAAAGAAGATAACATTTCAGACCTGTCAGATGTCATACAATTTTGCATGTTAGCCCCAATTTGGAGAAAAAAATTCCGATGCAATTCTAGTGAGGAATAAATTTGGAACACGCTTTACAGACAGAATTTGAATGTCTCATTCAAAGATTGTTTCAAACTTCTCTATAATCCTAAATTCAATTCCTGGTAAGCAAGGTATGTCCAGAAAGTACCCATCCATGCACTAAAAAATAGAGACATTTATTGAAGAAGATATAAGACACAAGAAATGTACTTGGGACAATGATACCTTAGTCCACTTCCAGGTAGGTACCTTGGGACCTCACACAGTTCTCCCAACTGTAATATGATGTTGCTTCTGCTCTGGTAGCAGAAGCTGCAGAACAAATTTTCCACAATGCATTTCAAGCCAAGGTCCTGCATCAAAATCTCAAAGACAGTAGTTTTTGCAACCCCCAGATCAGCTTATAGTTCTCACACTGTCAGTCACAAATCTTTGTTGACTGCAGCCCACATATATTCAGCATTCTCAGGTGTTCTGCTTGTGGCAGGCCTTCTAGAATGTGGCTCATTTTCAGCAGATTGACAACCATATTTGAAGCATTTACACCACACTTTTACTTGTGCTACACTCATGCATCGTCCAGAAAGCCTTCTCCATCAACCGAATAGTTTCTGTGGAGGGATGTTCAAGCTTAATGCAAAATTTGATGCTCTAATTGCTCATTTTAAATGTGAAAGCAACACAGTGCATATGCTCACTCAACAGCAACTACTGCCCCCACTGACTAGTAGAGTGAAGTCGTCATTGTTCACACATGCGCATTCTAGTCCACTCTCCTTGGCTGCCAGGTTACATCAATGTCGTCCAACTGTTCTCATTGTACTAACAATGGCTGGACTTTGTCCAGACAGATCTTTGAATACTGCAGAGAAATTGTTGTGTCTGATAATGTTTACACAAAAGATTTATTAGAGTATTATATGTCATAATAAAAAATCTAAACAATCTGAAATGTCAGTAACAGAATAACTAAGTTGTAGTTTATTTATGAGATTTATGCAGAAGTTAAAACTAGAATGACATGTATCGATATGGATAAATCTCAAAAAGATGATTAAAGATTATGTGCCAGAATTATACCCACATGTTGCTATTACTTAAAAAATAAAAAACCTGTGCAAGAAAGCATATGTAGTGAAAGTATGAGAATGCAAAAAAGGTTGGCAGAAGATGAGTGATTGGTAGTGATCACCTCTGGAATGATTAGGGAAATGTAATCAGGAATATGCTTGTGGTGGGTCTCAAATATATTAGGAGGATTTTATTTCTCAAAAGAAGCAGAAACAAATGTGACTCATGTTCAGTTTCAAAGTTGTGCATTAGGTACATGGATGCTGGATGCATTAATCTGCACTTTTATTCATGCACTTAAAATATTCTTCATTATTTAAAATTTATAAAGCATACATTAAAATATATATTTACATATTACATTTTGGAAATAAATCTGATTAGCAGAATTTTGAGGAATCCTCAGCTTTTCCCTTTGGAAGAACTCGAGAACATTGGTCACAGTGGGTAACGACCAATGACCATTGTGTAATAAAAATGGAAAACATTGGAATCAGGCTGATCTGTTTTCAACTACTAATGGCATTTTATTCATTTATGGCATTCATGATGTAAACATTCATTCATATGTTCATTCATTACTACAACACTTTTTTTTACTGTCTTTGACATAGTTTGTTTAAGCTCACAGAAGAGCGAAGAGAGTATCATGATATTGTACAGACCAGAGGTTTTTAGGATTAAGATATGTCTACACAAGATCTTTGACAGTGTCAGGGGTGGATCAAAGTTCTGGATTATTCATTAAACCTTTCATTCACTTTAAAATATTAATTAAATGCCTATTTTTGACAAAATAATCACCTGCTACAGTTTGCAAGGTGTTGCCCTCACTGAGTTTATTTTAGGGACACTGTTGGAGAAAAAAAATAATTTTTGCATATATTGCTATCTTCTTAACCTTTTAACAAAACCTAAAATGAGCTCCCTCCTCACAAGGTGGAATGGATTTGAGTTTATTTCTGTCCAACAAACATTTACTTTCCTGTATCCTGAAAATTTGTTAGAGTCTTTGTAAGTTAACAAGCTACTTCTGCAAAACAAATAAATATATCATGGCCAAACTGAACAATACCAAGAAGCAAAAAGAAATAAATGATGCTAGGTTGGTAGAAAATGACATCAGTAGATCATTTGTAGAATTCAATAAAAATTAAGAAAAACTAAGACTAAAACTAGAATTAATTTTATACCATTAATTTGTACCATATAGGTGCAAGGGGTAGAGAATATCTAAGCTGTTCATATACTGGATGATAGAAATAGATGAGTACCATAGGTAGAATTTAAGATGAGCCTACAGTCCTTGGTGTAAAATCCCTATATCCCCTTTATACTTTGACCTGGACAGGTGAGTCCTTTAAAGGCACATCTAAATGACACAGATGGGAGAAGTCACAGAGACCGGAAGCCTCAGCAGCCATTTCCCATTCACCTTGAAGAAGCAACTACCCCTCTGTGTGGAGGAATGCGGTGTAGCAACTATGGGCAGCCTCTAGCAGCTGAGAATCATCTCTCTTTGACAGCCAGCCAAAAATCTGTGACTTCAGTTTTGTGCTCTGTGGACAACGATATGAACGGGGCCCCTTGGAAATGGGGTTGAAGCTGCGACCCCAGAGGAACTGCCCAGCAGGTCTCATTCCTCCGACCTTTAGATGCTAACACTGGGAAAAGGAACCTTTGGCCTGGGCCACTCCAATGTCACGTTCCAAATGATGGTTTGCAAAGCTACAGAAAAGCAGACATCCTGACTTCCAAAGTGAAAATTAAAGGCATTCTTTAGAATTGGCACCGCCATGGACAACTAAAGAATAACATAGCTTATTAACACTCATAGAAATTCCTTCCTCATATTCCTGTAATTACCCTCCTTCCCTTTCTCATAAAACCCCTTTGCCTTTATCCCCTCATTGAAACACTACTTGGGTATCTGCTGGAATCAGTGACTCCTGAATAGCAATTTTTTTTAGATCTTGAAGAAATGCTTTTTGCCTCTCAGTTTGGCCTTTTATTTTTAGATGAACAAACCTCAAGGTAGTGAACTCTGCCAAGAGTTTGAATGAGCTTAGAAAAGAAACTCAAGCCTCCAGCGAGGCTGCAGACCTGGCCCACAGCCGAATTTTTGCTGCTGTGTGATCTCACTCAAACCTCGATTCTTGACTCACAGACGTTGTGATATAACAAATCATTGCTATTTTCTAATGCTAATTTTGTGATAATTTTTATTGAATGAATAAGCAAAACAATAAATAAATCACAAGTTTATTTTATAAAGTCAGTATAGTTTTGTTGTTAAGATATGTGAACATCTTAGCATGAGAAAGATCAATTAAACGTGTAACTTAAAGATTCAGAATAGACCTTCCTCTTCTTGGCAGGAGTCTGGCATGCAGTCCCAGTCCCCGTGATGTATGGACACAGAGGGAAAGGGCTCTGGACCCTCAGCATCATGTCCTCAGTGCTGACAGTTTCCAATCCACAGGCTTTATCCTCAAGCACTAGAACATGGATCCAAAAAAATTCAGAATAAAATGTTAGCAAAGTGATAATACATTTAGAGTTTTCTCATAAAGTAAATACATGGCAGTATATAAAATAGGTTGTACATACATAAAATTTATATTAACAAAACTTTAAATATACTTGTTTTATGCAAAACTTTGTCATTTATTTTATAACACACAGGTTTTTAAAGTGTAATTCTTATCAATTTAAAATAAAGATAATTTGACTTCCAGCCAAGATAAAGGCATAGGTAGACACACTGTACCTCCTCGTACAACCAAAAGAAGGACAACAACAAATTTAAAAACAAAAACAACCAGAACTGATAGAAAACCAAAGTGTATAAAGTCTGACAACCTAGGAGTTAAAGAAAAAAACATTTGTCCAGACTGATAGGAGGGGCAGAGACTGGCAGCTGGGGTGGAGAGGATACATGGTGAGGAGGCAGCTGGTGGACTGGGGCAGGCAAGGCAGCGGATTGCAGACTGAGCAGTCCCACACTGGCGTGCAGATGAGCCAGGAGGAGCAATTGGGGAGCAAGACAGACCGCACAACCTAGAGTCCCAGCAGGGAAATAAAGCCTGAAGCCTCTGACTGAAAACACCTGTGGGGGTTGAGGTGGTAGTGGGAGAAACTCCCAGTCTCACAAAAGAGTTCGTTGGAGAGACCCAAGCGGTCCTAGAATGTACATGAACCCACCCACCTGGGAATAAGCACCAGAAGGGCCCAGTTTGCCTGTGAGTAGCAAAGGAAGAGAGTAAAAGTAGGCAGAGAGCTGAACGAGCAGCATTGTTCTCTCTCAGACCCCTCCCCCACATTCAGAGCCAGAAGGCAGCACCTGGGTTGCCCAGCCCTGGTGAACACCTAAGGCTCCACCCCTTACTACGTAACAGGTGCGCCAAAACAAACAAAACAAATTGCCCAAATAAAAGGACAGATCAAAGCTCTGGGAAAAAATAGAAGTAATCGAGGAAGAGACAGCCAACCTATCAGATGCACAGTTCAAAACACTAGCAATCAGGATGCTTACAGAAGTGGTAGAGTATGGTCGCAAAACAGAGGAAAAAGTGAAGATTATGAAAAGTGAAATAAAAAGGCAAATGTACAGGAAATCAACAGTGACGGGAAAGAAACTGGGACTCAAATCATCAGTTTTGAACAGAAGGAAGCAATAAACATTGAACCAGAACAGAATGAAGAAACAAGAATTCAAAAAAAAGAGGAGAGGCTTAGGAACCTCTGGGACAACTTTAAATGTTCCATCATCTGAATCCTAGGGATGCCACAAGGAGAAGAGAAAGAGCAAGGAATTGACAACTTATTTGAAAACATAATAAAGGATAACTTCCCTAATCTGCCAAAGGAAATAGACATTTAGGAAGTCCAAAAAGCTCAGAGTCCCAAAGTAGTTGGACTCCAGGAAACATGCACCGAAGAATATTATAATTACACTACTCTGATGAAAGATAAGGAGACCATCTTAGCATCAGCAAGAGAAAAGGAGACAGTTACCTACAAAGGAGTTCTGATCAGACTATCAGCTGATTTCTCAAAAGAAACTGTACAGGCAAGAATGAGCTGGACAGAAATATTCAAAGCCAAGAAAAGTGAGAATCTTTATCCAAGATTACTCTATCCAGCAAAGCTTTCATTTAGAATGGGAGGGCAGATTAAGTTCTTGCCAGATAAGGTCAAGTTAAAGGAGTTCATCATCACCAGTCCCTTATTATATGAAATGTTAAAGGGACTTTTCTAAGAAAAAGAAGATATAAACTATGAACAGTAAAATGACAACAAACTCACAGCTACCAACAACCCAACCTAAAAATAAAAACTAAAACTAGAACAAAAATAAACTAAGCAAACAGGAACACAGAAAAACACAGAAATGGAGATCACATGTAGAGTTATCAATGGGGAGGGGGAAGGAGAGAGAGGGAGAAATGGTACGGTGAACAAGTAGCATAAGTGGCAGGTAGGAAATAGACAGGGGTAGGTTAAGGACTGTGTAAGAAATGTAGAAGCCAACGAACTTATATGTCCAACTCATGGACATGAACTAAGGCAGGGGAATGTGGGTGGGTGTGCAAGGATTAAGGAAATAAAGTGGAGAAAATGGGACAACTGTAGTAGCATAATCAATCAAATATATTTTTTAAAATATAATTTCACCTGTTATTTTTAGTATTAATACCACTTTTTATTGTTGAGTCAAATCTTTCAATATTTTGCAAAATTTCTTTGAGTTTTCTATCATATCTATAATTTTAATAGCAATCAACTAAGTATTTAAATATGCATTCTACTGTCTGAGTTTGTTTTTTCAAAATAAAGATAATATATTATAGGTAAATAAATTATTTATAAATGAAATAATGATTAATGCCCACAAGAAATTGAATGCAGGCCAGTCATTGCCCTACACTTTTTAGAAGATATTTAACCATCATAACTGCTTCATGGAATGGGCAGTGTTAGTATTTTTATATTAGTGTCATCTCAGAGAGGTTAGTTTCCTGCTCAGTGTCATTCAACTGCTAAGTGGTGGAGCTGAGATTTGAATTGAGACAGTTTCAACAGCCACATGATTAGCTATTGTGCCATTGCTGGATATTAAAAATAAAAGGATCGAGAAAAAGGTAAATATATATCTATGTGCTAGTTTTGGGGAGACCAGTATATACATTTCTAAAAAATAACATCATACAGTAACTGGACAAACAGAATCAACAAAATCAAGATGTATGTGACAGGCTTGAAGGAAAAAATACCAAAATGTGATACAAAGATATGTGCAGAGATGCTAATAATTCATAAAGGCAAGACAAGTAAAACAAACACAATAAATCATTATGCAAAAAATATGAATGACTTTTTCACAGCAAAGGAATTTTAGTGGAGCAGTAAATGTATAAAATTATTCTTAAGCCTGATGGAATCCAGGGAAGTGACAATTATTAGAGTAAAATAAAATCTTATAACTATCATACTGTCAACAAAACAAAATTTTAGAAGATTTAGTATTGTTGAGGGCATAAATGATACATTTATATTTTGTTTATGTGACAATGAATTGAATCAGTCTTTTTAAAACGGGATTTGGCATTCTTTTACAAAATTTAATAATATGAGTATCTTTTGACTTAAAAAATTATGCCCATGAAAAGAAATGTATTTTTTAAGACTAGCATGTCATTGTCCTAAGACTATTAAGTTGAAAACAATTTATAGGAAATCTCTGAAAAAAATTAAAAAGATGATATGGCCAGTTAACAATCAAAGTTGTAACATAAGTTGTGTGGTGAGTTACTAGAATTGTAAAACAAACATAAAATTATGTCTATAATATTCATTTCTATCTGCACATTTTTAAAGTTTGGAGCACAGCAAATAGTAATTGGTAATTATATTATACATTAAATTTGGAGGTTAGTTATTTTGTCTCCGGACAAACACTACACAAAACAGTCCAAACTATCATAAGTTATCTTTCAAAAACTCAGAATACTGCTACTCATTCCAGAGACAATAGACTGTTGGTTACAGAGGCTGGGGACAGTTCTAAAGTGGGCAAGGGGTTCAAAAGGCACACACTTTCAGGTAGAAGTGTGATCTGTAGGTCTCATGTACAGTGTGGTTGCTGTAGTTAGTAATACTCTATCGGAGATATTCAAGTTGTTATGAGAACACATCTTATGTGTTCTCATCACAAGAAAAAAATGTAACTAAATATGGTGGCAGGTGTTAACTATATTTGTGTGACTATTTTTCAATATATACACATATTGAATCATTATGTTGTGCACCTATAACTCTCATAATTTTGTCAGTAATATCACAGTTAAATTTTAAAAAAAGACAGCAAAGAAGAGGATGAAAGAAGAAAAGGAAGAGAGAACAGGATAGGAAACAGAGAAAGAATGAGAGGAGGCAGAGTTCACAATGAAAGCATTAAGAAAGCGAATAAGGGAGAACTGGAAAAATGAATTGAGGAATAAACACAGAAAAATAATCTAATAAACATTATAAGACCTTTAACTAATTGTCAGATAGTCCACAAGAAAACTTAGTAAATTACATTTTTTATTAAAGTCTCGTTACAATTAAGAGGGAAATAATTATATAGAAAAATGACAATTATAACATACAGTGATAATAAGTCAGAGAAAGCATAGTACACAGCATGATTGTTATTCTTTCCATTTATTAGAATATAGCTCTTAGGGTGTTAGTCCAAAATAAAATATTAAAATGTTACACAGATGTTATACTTTTTCCCTCAGAGAAAATTTCAGAAGTTGTATATATTTAATTATTCAGTTAGCCATGAAATGATTTTAAGGAGTTTGGCTGCAATGAAACAGATTCTTCTAAATCCAAAGTTATAGGTATATTAAAAAATGTTCAAAAGCATGATCTCCTTTTTGGCATTATTCACAAATATGCTTTATAGATTTTAAGGTATACTACCCAGAACGTGAAGAGATTTATAACACCTGGCTTTCAGTGGACATAAAATTAATGTTCAGATTATTGTGTCTGACAGAAAATCAGCTTATACAATAGAGATGGATAAACTCACAATTTAGTCTGAGGTGTTCCAAAGTACACTCATCTGGTGTACTTTGATACTGTGGGTACCTTTTTGTTCTCCATTAAAAAAAATGGGAGAGAGTTGAGCAGAGGCTGAAATAAGTGTTTGATTATAATCCCCGAAGCTCCAGCTATTTTGGGTAAATCTTCTGCACACGTTCCATACTCATGCCAGCCACCTACCAGATCATTGACTCCATCACTATGATAACTGCCTAAGCAACCAGGTCTCCCAAATACATTATGTTAGATTTGAAGTTCCCCTGAGCCAAACAGCTATCCATGCACCACTGGCAGGTCAGCCCTGCCAGGTCGCTTCTCCATCAGTCTGGTCTGATTCAGTAGCCACCACCCACAGCCACGTATTTCAGTTGTATCTTCTGCTATTTTCAGTCTGTAATAGCAAGATGC